ATTTCATTATTTATTCACCTAAGAATCATTGAAATAGAATATTTTAATAATAAATTTATTTTATTTGGATGTATTTATATACGCAAATGTAAATACATGTATATATTTATATATTCAATTTAGATGAGAATAATAAGCAAAAACGATATCTTAAAACTGTATATTTCTCCTGTAATTAAAACTTACTCCTCTTTCCTTTCTGAAAGCAAAGACAATGTAATTTCAATTTACCATCTCGGGATAAACACTACTTTTCTCGCACAAAAACCGGACTACAGTAGAAAAAGTAAGATAAGAAATGAGTCCAACATTGACTTATAATTTTCCAGTTGTTATGTATCTGTAACAATGAAATGTGTTGAAATCGTGTCGAAATTAATTTCCGAGATTTGGCAAATCTCTGTTTTCAGACCTCCCGAATTTACCGATAGGAAAACGAGAAAAATTCCGTGGATATGTGTGTGTAAGTGTTGGGGTAGTTTCTTTTAATATGTCCTGATAGGATAAAGATTCGGAAAAGAAATTTAAAATAGTAAATTGTAAACTTTTTTATGTGGATTGGCATTGAAGATTACAGAAAAGTAGCATAGGAGACCATAGTAGTTTGATTCTTCTGTTGACTTCTGGATGTAGTGAGAGAGATTTGGGTATTAATTACCCAGGTATATATACACATCTACCGTTTCTAGTGTGGTGTCATTTATTATTAGTAGTAGTGTTTTGATACATGCTATTCACAGAATTAATTTTTCGAGTAAATTACTGTAGAATAAATTAAAATTACAAATAATTTTGAAAATTAAATTAAGATTGCAAATAAAAATTTGTCGAATGGAATTATTTCAGATCACACAATTAATTTTTCGATCACAAATCTTAATTAAATTAATTTTATTTTAACAGTAAAGCAAGTTTCTGTATTAATTATTAAATGTTTTAATATCCAATAAAATTAAAACATGACAATTGTATGAATTAATATAACACTGAAATTATTTTGAAAAGGTTTTTATTTTTACGTTACAGTTTATTTAACTGTTTCCGCTTTTTCCTTCAGTTTATTTTAAAAATAATTTTAAAATTATTTTTCAGGATATAACTTATTTCCAGATCAGAAATTTCTCGAGTAAATTAAGATTATAAGTAATTTTAATATTTAGGAAACTTTTCAATTTATTTCTTACGAAAAGATTTTCATATTTAGAAAACTTCTCACTTCAATTGATTGCTTCATATAAAAGTAATTTGCGATAATACAGTAGACTCCCCATAACACTGTTGATTATTCCGTTTTATACGAATTCCATATTGTACGAGTCACTTAGATTTTACAAATATGTGTGCCGGGCTGTGAACATCTCATGTATTTGTAAATTCGAAATGACTCGTACAACATGGAATTCACAAAAAACGGAATAATCAACAGTGTTATAGGGGGGAATCGACTGTAATTTTTACAATTTGTACTAATATTTGATGTGGTTAAAAATTATTAATATATATAGGATTTTTTTTTTGTTCTAATATCCGAATAAATTAAAACACGACAATTTGAAATAATATTATAGCAATAAGAAAAAGTAAAATAGGGAAATAGTTTAATATAATAATTATATATAGCATAATCTTTATTAGCAAAAAGAGATTATCCCTGTTGCAGGATAATCTCTGGAGAGATATAACTGGCCTTGTGAACACAACGTCTTAGTTAGAAATAAAATCTTCAATGCACTTATAAACTTTGATGAGACAACAAAGGCTCTGGACCTGCAACACGACAATAAGTAAGAACATCTTCATCTAGTTCAACATGTGTTTAACATGTGTATAATGAACAGCTACTTGTGTGTAGCTGAGTTACAACTCTATCTGCTAAGCAGTATTTCTTGTACACCTAATCATTGTATTTACCATTTTGACATCAATATTGTAAATTTTATGGTACTATGCCAGGCAATGTGTACTTTTGTGTTAAGGAACTTATAGTCGCGTTTTTATGTATGGACATAAAATTCTGTACCTCGCTTATTTTCTTTTATAAATATTATTTTTATATGTAACCTGTTTATGTTTTAAATAAAGTTCTCGGTGCGGCTCTTGACCTCCCCTTCCACTTCTCACTTCTCTCCCATTTTCCACCCACTTTCGGCCACAGCCACAGCGGATTTTTTCTCCAACTAATCCTTCTCACTTCTTTTCATCTCTTTGTAAATATACCACTCAGTAATGCCTCCTATCCCCCTATAAATATTTAAATATTGAAATAAATATTTCACAAATACGGATCTCTTGTATACATAATTGGATCCTATAACCATGCAATGGCCAATCGTTTGCTCGCGACCTGCATGTGACTTGTTCTACATCTTTACTTGGGCTCCTGTATATTTATAAAATTTTTTAAAAAAATTTGGCACATACCACTTACACATACGTAATACTTTTGTACATTTTAGGCAAGTGTGCTATAAATTCAGATTCAATAAGCCTCTTACCGTAAAGAAGAAACTGAAAGCTAAAGTTATGTTAATAAGAACCATGTTTTGGACAGCATATTTCTGATAAGGGATACATACGTGTCTTCACTGATTACAAAGTTTCGCTCTGCTGTAACCCAATAATAAGTAGATGTATTTCGATAGTATTACATCACTAATTGTACTTCATTAGTATTACATTACTAATTGTACTTCATAGAATATTTTATTCATGAGTTTGTCAAAGACAATTGTATTATAACATTTTTAAAAAATGATGTTTCACCAGCTAATTTCTTTTCATCNATGTATTTCGATAGTATTACATCACTAATTGTACTTCATTAGTATTACATTACTAATTGTACTTCATAGAATATTTTATTCATGAGTTTGTCAAAGACAATTGTATTATAACATTTTTAAAAAATGATGTTTCACCAGCTAATTTCTTTTCATCAGATATTTAGAAAACAAGCTGCAGGTAAGTAGTATGATATAGTGGTGTTAATATAATATAAATACTTCTATTAATTTCTGCTACGTTTATTTATTCATATTATTAAAAGAATTTAAACGATTTCAATCATAATAAGGTCAGTTTTGTTTCTTCTGATTCTATGTCACGACTTGGTGCATTTATAGACACTTGGCAAATAATTCCATCACCTACATTTACTTCTTACAGAAACGCGTTTCGGGCTTTCGCCCCTCTTCAGTCTGTTCTTACAGAAACGCGTTTCTGTAAGAAGTAAATGTAGGTGATGGAATTATTTGCCAAGTGTCTATAAATGCACCAAGTCGTGACATAGAATCAGAAGAAACAAGAAAAAGAAGACACGGTTTCGACAAATAACTAAAAGGTCAGTTTTGTTATAATAATATTGATATTTTCTTTTCCTTAAGTTATTTTCTTCCTATAGTGTTTCTTCCACCCAATTTTGAAGTATAAAGAGAATTCTCTTTAAGATATGTTTAGCAGTAATTCATTTTCTATCGTACTTTAATGCGATATCTTAATTCAGAAACGAGTGAAATGAAGCAGAGAATGTTATATAAATCTCGCACGTAATGCAGCGATTACCACATTTCAAGTAGAATTTAATATAGGCCTATATTTCCTTCTATCCAAAATTTTTAAAAATACTTTATAATAATTAATAATTAAAATAGTAATAAACACATTCAAAATTATTTACGATAGAAAATGCAAACGGATTTGTGCAGTAAATTCTTTAAAAAATATATTTTGTATTATGTTAATATTACTATTGTCTGTCCGGTTGTTTCTCTGTCTCTCCTTAATCTCAGGAATGGAGTTAGATAGATGACAATAGATGAACGATGGCACCAGGTATGGAAACCAAATAGGAATAACGCCCTGTTTAACTGTATGCGACCGTCCAATGCATGCCGGAAATCACGTGATTTCAGTTCAAAATTTTTTTCCCTAAAAAATTAGATAGATGACAGGCAGTATTCTGTTGATAGTAAAAAAGTATGATGTATAGGGACGACTCGTTACTAATTTCATACATTTTAACTTAAATAAATTTAAAATATGATTAAAAATTGTCCGACATTGTGATAATGTAACAATAAAAATACAATGGACTGAGTCAATACAGCGATAAAAGAAACTTAATTTGCATCAGATCTAAATTTTTCTAAAAATTTAAATCATTATACGTAGCAATATTTTCGTTATCATTGTAGAATATTTTTGAAATTTACTTCTACACTCAAATCATATTAATGTATAAATTTCACGTCAGTTTCCATTATTTAACCTGATACAGGTGTTTTAATATTTGTTCTTTAGTAAAAAGATAAATATTAAAATAGCTGTATAAGTTTAAATCATGCATGCCTCATTTAGCATCATTTTACAGCTTTTTTTAAAAGCCTTTATACAAAATTACACATAAAAGTAGTAAGTTTTATTTGTAATTTTGTATAAAGGCTTTAAAATAAGTGTAAAATTATGATAAATGAGAAAAATAGAGAAAAGGGTGCAAAAGTAGATTTATAGGCAACAGGAATAATTGTTAATAACCTGTGCTGTACACGATTCCTTGCATATAAAAATTATAAAGAATTATTATTACAACACTACATTTAACTTTTAGTTAATCACTCATACTCGTACACATTGACACACTTCTTTTATTTTATTTTTTCTTTTGTAAACTGTTGTATATTATAGATAATTAAATATCATTTCGTTTTCTGATTGGTAGCGACAAAACAAAACGACTACACTATTGTTATTTTTTATGTAGGATCTGGTTCCATATTTAAATCATACAACTTTAATAAAGAACACCATGGATACAACGATAGAATACACAAACAACTCGCCTGAAGTTGAGGTAAGAATTATATTAAATAATTTCTAAGCAGGAAATAAAATATAAAATAACTAAACTTACAAAAGTTATACCTTTAATACATATGTAACACTAGTTACAACATATCTTAAGTAGTCGAACATTGCTTTATAAAGAATGATGAAAGTGATTTTTATTCCGCGTTTGCAGATGTTGAAGGATTATCCGGATCGTCTTCGGGTTCAGAGATTAAATTTTGACGTTCTTCTTTCGATTTCTTAGAGTTAAGAGATATTCGTCTGATATATTTCGTGCAATATTTTGCATCTAAATCATTGAGCTCGCGTTTGAGTTCATCACATGAATGCTTCGATATAATTGAAAATAATTTCGAAAGTGATAATAGAACTGAAAATCCTGAACAAAGTTGCATTTTCAGCTCTTCTTTATCACCCGAATTTTCTTCAGTTAAACACTCAGACCGGAGATCATCAAAATCATTTATGAATTTGTCGATATCGAACCAGCTTTCGCTGGATATTGAGTTTGAACATTCAGTAGAAAGTGATTCTGGTTCAGTTAGATTCAATCTTCTATTTTTGTGCTAACTCAAGTTGCTCCTCGTAGAGATCGCCCACTAAATAGTAAATACTCCACTTTAATTATTTGAGAATTATTTTATATTATTATTCATATTGTCATTATCAATTTCGTTATAAATGTCTAGCTATTGTTATATTTTACTCTACTTTTGTTCTAAAATAAAATTTAAATTATAAATAAATAAAATCATTTGTGTTAGTTTTTTTAAGACAGGGAAAGAATGGCAATCGATCGATTAAAATAAAATCTGGTAACAGATGGCGCACACTGAATTTTAATTTTTGCTGGGAAAGTTATACAACTCGTTGCTAGATTTTTGTTCCTTCCAAAAAGTAGGTTTCTGAAATTTACGAGTTATTGAAACGAGACCATCGGTGTTATTAATATTCATTTTAACGATGGCTAACAAAATTACTGTATATATTAATTTCATCGTTAACTGTGTACAGTACAGTATATATGCTTTAAACATGGGCATATATGAAGACAGTTGTCTCTTCTGCCACTCGTACGCACATGAGCTTACATATAAGAAATATGTACTGTAAAGTGGTGTCTCGTATAACGTATGCCTCGAGTAACGGACTCTGCGAACAACGGACTTTCCGTTCGGCAGTTACGTAAAGCGAACAAGTGCGAATGATGTTTCCACTCTTTTGCTCTTGCAAATAACAATCTGCTATTTTTTAATATATTAGTATTATTAGAATATATTTTTAGTATATCTGAAGTACAGAGCTCCCGTTGGGATTCGGCTTGCTTTCTTGTTTATTACGTACAGTACATCATCCGAGTGCAGCGTATTTACATTTATTTAAGTGTTGTGCAAATCATGGCTTCTAAAAAACAGAAAGGTGATTTCAATTGAAACAATGCAAGAAATCATCAGAAAAAGTGAAAGTTGACAAAAACTTTTTTGTCAAATGGGGAGAGGCTAAGGAGTTTACCAACACTCATTATCCAAACAAAGCTGAGGCCGACAGGATCAATGATCTCTACAATGACACATTTGCCTGTCATTTCCGACAGGTGTTGAAGAAGAGAGAGAAACAAATCACCTTGGGCATGTTTTTCAAGAAGACAGTTACCAAATAACACAGAATGGAACAAGAAGAGTTGACTCTGCAAGCTCCGGTAGCCTTTCCTGAATTTGACCCTGATTAAAAAACAATAAAAAAATCTGCTGCAATGTGTAAAAAGTCTGTATGTATATGAATGTGTGAAGAAAGTGTTCATCCATTTCTTCCACACAACATCTGACTACCCGGCATAATTGGTGACTGCTCCATTTTTATTTTTTAATGGTACAGTATGGTTATTTTATGCTGCGGAACGAATTTTATGTTTTAACATGTATTTCTATGGGAAAATGCATTTAATATAACGAACTTTTCACTTAACGGACGTGCATCTGGAACGGATTAAGTACGTTATTCGAGGAACCACTCTATATATGTGTACAATACATAAATTGTACTGTACTTAAGTGCACGACATTTTATGAAATTTATAATACGTATGGCATCATTTAAGACCACATTAAGATCTGGTGATATTTTTTTAGCTACTAATGCTTCTCGATGGATGATGCAATGAATAAGAACGATATGGCCATTTGTAATAGATTTAACTTCTGCTAGAAATCCGACACGCTGTCCCTTCATTGCTGCTGCACCGTCAGAACATACACCAATACAGTTATCCCAGTCTAATCCTTCTTTCTTGAAAAAATCATTAACTTGTAAAAAAATATCTTCGCCTGTTGTACGATTGTTCATTGGCCGACAAAACAGCAAATCTTCATGTATATTAAGGGCGTAGCTATATCGAACATAGACCAAGAGTTGAACTAAATTTGTAATATCTGTTGATTCATCCAGCTGAATTGCAAATTTTGGACTTTCTTTAATTCTTTGTATAAGTTGCTGAAACTGATCACAGCTAATTTCTGAAATCCTTCTAGTAACTGTATCATTGGAGAGAGGAATTTTCCGCAATTCATCTGCATACTTTTTTCCATGAATAGTTTCTGTAATTTGTACTGCAGTAGGTAAAACAAGTTCTTCTCCAATTGTGTATGGTTTTTTAGCCTTTGCTATTAGATATGATGCTTGGTAAGATGCTAAAAGATATTTTTCCTGAGTAAAAGCATACTTTTCTAACAAAGATTTGCTTTGATTTGATGACTTTAATAAACTTTGAAAACATTCTATAGGCTTTTTTGAATAAGCAGCATGTTTCGTGTTGAAATGCCTTAGTAGTTTTGAAAGCTTCATGCTTTCAGCCGCCAAAATATCATTGCATAATAAGCATAAAGGTAGTTGTTCGTCATGTGTACCGGCAGAAAATGTAAATCCATATTGTAAATATGATTCATTATACATTCTCTTTTTTTTTATGAACTGGTCCCGTTGCAGGTTCTATTTCTGCTTTTTTTACTGCTTCCCGCCTCAGCAAGATCTTTTGCACTTACATTCGTAACTTTTCTTTTCAACCATTTATCCATATTTAAGCATAGAACGTTTTTGATACTAGATATCGCTATGCGTCATAATTTTTATATTAAAACAAACTTTCAAAATATAATTTTTTTGTTTTTATATTTATGAATATATCTATTTTGTTTNCACTTACATTCGTAACTTTTCTTTTCAACCATTTATCCATATTTAAGCATAGAACGTTTTTGATACTAGATATCGCTATGCGTCATAATTTTTATATTAAAACAAACTTTCAAAATATAATTTTTTTGTTTTTATATTTATGAATATACCTATTTTGTTTGTGAAAAACAAAAAAAAATAATTTCGGACGATAAAATAGCCACGATTTAAAAAAAAAAAAAAACAAACGTGTAATTTTCGTTAGGCTTAACATCGACAGAATTCAACATGGCGTCACAGGCAACGAAAAATAATTTTCCTAATAAAAACAAAGACATAAAAGTACTTTAATTACATTTATTTTGATATATTATTAGCAATAAAATACTATGGAAATGTTTAGTAAGTGGGCACTTTCGTTTTGAATGTAAATATTTCTAACTCGATGTGCCTACAGACACAACGCTGCTAGCGAACGTTGTTCTATCATAGTTTAGGTGGGGAGTGGAAACTCGGGGATTCCTCAATAGCGCACAAATTTTTTAGTTATATTCAGGATCATATTAAAATATTCATATTGTATTTTATTATTTATTTATATTAAGTAAAAATTATTTTATATATTTTTGATTTCTATTTCTAAACATGAATCTATAGTAAATTTATAAAATATTTGAAAAAAAATTGATCTGTCATCAATTTTTCTGCGACCCCCCCAAATATTTTTCACGACCCACCTGAGGGTCGCGACCCCCACTTTGAGAATCACTGGTCTATATATACTAGCAGACCCCGCCACGCCTTGTTGTGGCTCAAAATGTATCTATTATAAATGTATAACACTTCCCCCGTGGGGGAAAATTTTTCGAAAAATTTTTTCTTAGTGTACATTCTCTTGATGTACCCTATTAAAATGCAATCAAAAACGCAAAAAACCGCATCTAAAATAGTATAAATATAAGCAGAGTTTTTTACGGTAAGTCTTACGGGGAAGGATTACCGTAAAGAACTGTCCATCCCCCATGTTTAACGGAATAATATACAGCCTATGTCCATCCTGAAGTTCAATTCTAAATATTGGTGAAAAAATTTTTGAAATCGGATGAGTAGTTTTGGAGATTACCTGCTGCATATAAACTAACATACATACAAACATTACCTCTTTATAATATTAGTATAGATTATTTTAATTTTTATAGAAAAAAAAATAAGATTATACATATAGATAAAACTTTTCTCGCACGAAGCAATAGAAACGGGAAGAGTTAGAAATATTCGAAGAGCGACATTGATATTTGGGTAAGACTCAATTAAACCAAAATCATGAAGAGCCTGTAGAATATTAGGCGGAGATGCGGTTTCTATATTTTGTATAAGAGTCGTTACTTCAAAATTAAAACTTTCAATTTCACTTGTGAATTCGTACTTTTTTAAATCTTTGCTATATTTAATTAACTTAAATATCACAGTTTAAAATCAGAGCCCTATTCATCTTTACTGCTGACAATATACGAAGAACATTCGAACGACCATCTTGACTAGACTGATGAAATATAGGGCAGAAGAGTTTTATTTGTAGAAATGTGAAGTATGAAACAAATGCAATCTCAATGTTCTCATTTGTTCACCAGCGGAAAAAAACTGTACATAAACGTCGCACAATTCGAAAAGAGTGTAACCGATAGAGGTCTTTGCACCATTCCGTGCAAAACCTGTGTTCGTTGCACACAGAACATTGAAATTGTTTACGAATTGGCTAAATGCGATTGCAAATATGTTGATCTTCGATAGCAATTCTAAAATATTAACAAAGTAAAAGCCGAATTGTGCTTATCGCACTTTTGTGTGCTCTTGTATCCTTACTTTGATTCTTAAAATACACAAGATGTATAATAGATACTACTACAATTAATTAAAAATCACTTTCTGTAATATGAAACACCAACTCTACTTGTTATTTGTTTTTTAGTGTCCGCATATAGTGTAGCATGTATGTAAGTTTTAACACAAGTAACAGATAAGAAAAATACATAGATAATAGTGATATCCAATCAGAACGAGCGAAGGCACGTAGTACTGAAATATCAATAATTAAAAATACTTTAATAGATATGAGAGAAGTGTTTTTAAGTACGTGTAACTAGTAAAATGATGTATATATAAGCGTTATTATCGTTTAAATATTACGTGTTAATAAAACAATCAATATCTTGTCTGATTAGAAAACTGTATTTTAGTGTATTATCTACAAAGTCCCTGAAATAAAGCACGTAGAGACGTCTGAGTTTATTGTCTACAGAAATTATAGAGAGCAAAATTTTATATCTTACTAGCAGACCCCGCCACGCGTTGTTGTGGCTCAAAATGTATCTATTATAAATGTAAAACACTTCCCCCGTGTGGGGGGAGAATTTTTTGAAAAATTTCTTCTTAGTGTAAATTCTCTTGGCGTACCCTATTAAAACGCAATCAAAAACACAAAAACCCGCATCTAAAATAGTATAATAGAAACCAAGTTCTTCAAGGTAAGCCTTAATCCTGTCTCTCTCCCCACAGGTAGAATATTGAAAATTCCTTCTTTAGTGTATATTCTGTTGACGTACCCTATTAAAACGCAATCAAAAACGCAAAAAATTGCATCTAAAAAGTAGAAATAGAAGCAGAGTTCTTTACGGTAAGCCTTAATCCTGTTCATCTCCCACCAGTGGGAGGAATTTCGACATGTATATTATATAAAACAACGTGCGTATTTGAATGCAGCATTGTGTGAAAATTTCAAAGGAATTGGTAGGAACAAACGAACATTATATTTCTATTTATATAGATAGATAGATGATGATCTGTTTTAGTTCATCCTCACAGAAAATCAAACTTAGGGCGTCCTACTCGTAGCGCCATCTGTTGGACATAAAAGCCTTAATCCTAGATGAAAAATTCATTGTAGTTTTATTTAATTAATAAAAAATCTGCAGGTTTGATTAGTGGTAAACATTCCGGGGGTTATAAAGATGCTGCAGTTAAAATTTGGTAACGATTGGTTCAGTAGTTTTCACGGTTAGTGGTCACAAACGAAAAATACGTTGTCTCTTTATACAGTAATATAGATTCCTATGTATGTATTCTTTACATAAGGCGTCTGCAGATACAAAGATTATAGTAATGTAGTCTTGTTTAAAATAATCGGGTTGTAAACGGCAATATACGCTATATCTAACAAACATTTCCTAATAATTTTAATATAATATACCATGCTGCATCAACCGACAATGTCCATGCGAAGAATGTTTTTCTTCGTTGACTCTATAAAAGTTTTTCGGATTATTTTTAACTGTCTATTTTTTAAGACAATTTTTAATGCTCTGTATTTTGTATTCATATGATTGTATATGAGATATATTAATAATATACATTATTAAAAATATAATTAATGTATTCTTAATAATCCTTACTATTATATATCTATAAACAAAAATGTTTGTTTGTTCTTTATACATTCCTCGATCGTTCTGTTCAACTGCTACAAAACATGGCAATTTTATTAAAAATCTTTTCACTAAGATAATGGCGTACATACATCCAACTCGAAATTACTCATTGAATTTCTATGTATCCATTAATTTCTATTTACATTGTATTTGTTAGAGTTACATATAGTACCATCTGTTGGCAAAAAATAAATAAATGCTAATAGTTTCTTTTATTGATACAGTAATGCATTGTTGGGCTGCAATTTGAAAACACTGTAGACCTATAAATTCTTACTCTCCTCTGGTTGTCTATCTTTCCTTTATCTCGAGAACGGAATTAAATATATAAAACACGAGACCAGATATGTAAACTTTAGAAGCAGGAGGCTCCGATTAATTATATAAGAATTTTTGAAACAAAGCGAAACTCATGTCATTTCAATTGAAATATTTTTCCTTTTAAGGTGTTAGATAGATTACCGGCACGACTCTGTTGTCGTAAGAAAAGTATGATGTACAGGGGCAAGCCACTAATTAGTTTTAGGAGAAGAGCACATTTTTAATTAAATACATAAAACTATAATTGAAAATTGCAGCTTGGAATTGTGACGATGTCACAATAAATAATTGCTTGTCTGAGTAGGAAACGTATTAGAAAATGTATTACTGTTATTGTAATAAAGAATTTTCACCCCAGAATACTCTTAGCTAAACAGGAACGGTTAGAAATAAAGAGTGCAGCTATTATACTTAATTATATAAGATAGATATTACTAGCAAGCTACGAACATTAAACATTCTAAAGATAAATCAGAAGTAAGACTATATTAGAAACATACAAAACATTGCTAAACCCGATATATAACATACGTAAACACCAACCGTATGCCGAAAATCTATCGGGCTAGTTTAAGGCTAAATACTAAATGAATTACGTAATCAATTCGGCTCTAGAGGTAAGCGTTAGGCGCCATCTCTTATTAACATTAATAATTATAAATAAATAAATTCATTTAAATAATTTAGTAACAAGAAATTAACAATTATCTACACTTGCTTATTAAATAACTAGCAAAAAAGACCGATGTTTCTCGGGCAAAATATAACAACATACATGAAAATTATTTCGTACTTCTAATCTTTCTATTATATTATATTGATTTAATACAATAGCATACACTTGCGACTAAACAATCGTAGCGATTAAAAAATTGCAATCGGTCCTTTTTCGCTGCGAAGCGACTGTCGCTGAAAAAAAATAAATCACACAGACAAGAATGGACATGTTCAGTACCCACTTTCTACAGTTCT